ATATCTTTCTAGTGGCTGGCTGCACTAATTTTCTGATCTCTCAACATTTACCCCTTAGTATCTTACTCTGAGATTTTATTAAGAACAATTCGAATTTGTGCTACAGATATCAAGCCTATTATATTTCCTTGAGACAAAGCCTTTATGGAGTGTTTCACTTCAGTGACCTGAAAATAATTAGAGATCTCCATTCTTGCACCAGCAAATAATTATGTTGGGTGAATAAGTTTCTCTTCATTCTATTCATTGTTTACATAGTTATATAAACACAGATTCTTTGTTTTTCTCTGAATATATTTTCCCTGAAAATGAGACTATACAACTGTCTTTTACAGTAAGTGTTGATGTCATATTTAAGTGTTTCTTTATTTTATATATTCACTCAGAAACACATATACCTCACAAAGAAACTCATATAAAGGGAGTTTGCCACTGTGCTGTTCTCTTTTCAAGTGTGTTTGAGGTTACTTGATGGTATGTTATGAATGGAAATCAGAGTAATTATTTAGTGTCGTGATCATATCCCATTTATTTTTTTCTTACATGCAGTTGAGTATAATATGAAAAACTGAGTGAGAAGCTTTCGTAGGAGTTTATACTTAGATGGAAAGGATATAGACCATTATGTCTACATATATTTCAATTCATCTTTGAGTGATAATTTTAACCTCAGAAATGTATGCTCATTGACTTTTTCTTTCATTTACTAACAGAGAAAGCATCTTGATTAGACATGCTCTGGCAAATAATGCACTAGAATTTGCTGAATTTATCTAACTCATTACACAAATTAAAAATTTTCATTTTAGTGGAACCTATCACCTATTGTGATGACGTATTATCCATTCCTTTGTGCCCCAGAAGAGCCAAGTTGGAAGTAAGCACATGGGAGCATCTACTCCCCGATGACTAAATAACAAGCTCAATAACAAAGGAAGCTCATAATCATTGTTAATTTTTAAAAAAATACTATTTTAGTGGAGTTATTAAATTAATATTATATAGTAATTAAAGAACTGAATAAACAAAATGAAAGTCATTATAGTCCTATCTCATAAATTAATGCCTCCATCAAAAGTTTCCATACCTATGAAACAGTAGGACCATTCTCTGCCAATATTACACCATAAATTGCAACTTCACAGACTACATTTTCAACTCTGCAACAAAAATGCAGCTGTGCAGATTCTCTCTGACCATCGGTGCAAGACATGGTTTGCTAGGGTGATGTTATGAATGGGGACTAAGTGCCTTCCTCTTCAAGTGTGTCTTAGATATTATTTGCATTATTTAAATATTTCTTCAATTTTAGCTCATAGTATCTTCTTAAATATACCCGGACATTTGTTTTCATATAGAATTTTCAAATTAGTCACTCATTCTGTCAAAATTTAATGCTTTTATCCCTAGCAGTCTTTTCAAATAAGATGATTTCATTTGAATTAGTCCCAATTATCTAAGCAAGCTTGTTTATTAAAAAATAAACAAATAAATAGTGATGTGCAAAGAAAAGACATAGACAGTATTGTGAATATAAATGGAAAAAAAATATTTTTCTGGTCAAAAGACCCAGGAAACGTCTGGTATTTAACCCTTGATGTATCTGATCTTTATGCTTTTTTCATCATTATAACTATCTATGGATGATCTCAATTTCCTGGGGTCTTCTACATGCAGGGGAATGTTTTTATTAAGGAAGTACAGAAATTTTATCTGAGTGATAGAGACAGAAGACTTCTGGATGTCATCATGAGAAATTTTTACCATTAATACTTCAGCAATCTAAACCACTATTTATTCCTGTTCAGTTCCCGGCATTTTTGGGAGACACATGGATGTATATACACTTCATAAGTTCAAGACCTTTTGAGTGTCTTTAATACAAAAAAGGAATAATTCATATACTTAATTTTAGGGTTGTCAATTTTTAAATAAAATGACCATATAAAAAGGCTAACAATTTCTATTTATTAAGTGGGCATTTAATGCACATGCAAACAATTTATCTTTGTATTTTTATAAAGAAGTTTGCTTAGAATGTGACAGTATCCACTTACCTATGAGACTAACTTTTGACAATATATATTATATTTAAATTTACCTTGGATGTTCTTTCATTTATCTAAAAACTAAAAAATAGAAAGTTTCGTGGAAGTTTGTTTTCTGAAGGCTATTGTGGTTCTTTCCTTATATATTGAATGTGGATATCTTGTCATGTGCTCTGTGAAGTCACGTAGGTACATAAAATAATTACTGCCCTATCAGCAAAAGAACCTTTAAATTTTATGGAACAAAATAAGAACTGTGTTGTGAGTACATGAGATGATAAAACAGAATACAAACTAAAGATTCTTGTGATACACTGAAATGCAAGTAATATTTTAAGTCATATAGTATCATAGAAAGTATCTAAATTGGGAAAATTAAGATGCTACACAAAGAAATTAATCATAGAATACAAGTCTATTTGCTCTCAGTGTAACAGGCTACTTAGGTTTGTGTGAGGAGGTTGCATGGTATATTTTTATTTTCACTCTTATGTCTTCTCTGAGTTTAGGATTTTTTATATTTACTGAAAATGTAAAACTCAAAATGAGAGAAAATGTAATATTGTATCTTTTGATACTGAGTTGATTAATATGTTTATTTTCACTTGTATCTGTGTTTTATCAAGAGATATAACTTTATCCTCTATATGGGTGACAAAACTTCAGTGCTAGGCAAAAGTAGTTTTTAAAATATAATACTATTTTCCAAAAAAGTCATGTTCTTAATAATGGATTATTCAAATAGTTTTCAAGAAATGTGTTAACAGTAGTTCTGAATGAAAGCAGTCACACTATTCTTCAGTGTTTATAGAATTAACCCTTTGATAATGTACATTATGCATAAGTCCAGCATTATGTGGCCTCTGTGCTCTGTTTTTCTCTATTATATAAATACTTATTTATATAAATACTTACTTAAGGTTCTAGAAGTTTTGATCTGATGAAATATAATGCTAATCAATATTGAAGCAACTGAATGTGTAGAAGTACAATGTAGAAGACAGAATTAAACATAAGTTATGTGATAACCCTGTGTTCCGTGACAGGCATGCCTATGGCAGTTGGGAACTTCAAGAATGACAAGGACAGATGTTTTGGCTCGGATGGCAGCATAAATGTGAAGGTGACATGTATAAGGTGCATCACAACTGCTTTTACAGCCATCCTGACTCTGCACATGTCCTCTGGTACCAAGTCCTTGGACAAGAAATTTTATTAGTTCAATCATATTTCTTCACAGGTAAATATTGATAATATAGTACATATAATAAAACAAATTATTCCTAAGATGTATGATTTTAATCCAAATCCAGAATATGGTTCATGAGACACACATGTGCTGTTTGATTTCTAACCCAGACTATGTCTACATTCCTGTTAAGTGGACAGAAATCCTCATGACTTTTTTCTCAGCTGATGCTCACAGTGAACCATCATAGAATAGTGATCACAGCCACCAGTGAGATGTCTGATGTTCTGGGCAGTGTTTAGGTGTTTCATAAGAATACCAACAGACACTCTAGGAGATGGATATTATGAAACTCCCTGTGGTACAGATGTTGAAACAGAGGCAGAGGTGACTTACTAAGATGGACAAGATCGGGATGACACAAACCAAGTGAACCTCATGCTGTAACCAGGCATGGCTTCAGGGTCCACAGCTTTCCTCACTGCTCTGTCTCTAGTATTTCCCAGATTTTTTCTTAATAAACCATGTACAATAAAAAGATATTATTCTATCATAGTAGTTATTAAATTTTATTCTCCACTTAGTATCATTCAGGAGGCAGTAGTAAACTTGGAGATATTGTGCAAATGTGACAAAAGGAAAAATGATAACAGAAGAGAAAGAGAAAGAGTCAAAGAAATGTGGTATGGACCATTAAATGCTGTGAGACTGGGAAAGACCCTGAAATATTTAGCAATCCCCATTTTTTCAGAATGCAAGCAGATACATGTTTATAATTAAGTTTTAAAAATGAACTCAACCAAGACCTTTGTATTCTGGTTATGCAAATCTTTGTATGTTCTGCTTTTCAGGATTCTCACTGCTATGTGAGGACCCTCAGCACCTAGGATGTATTACGATTAAAAACCATGCCCAGTTTAGTTCTCTCTCTCTCTCTCTCTCTCTCTCTCTCTCTCTCTCTCTCCCAAGATTTTTCTGAGATTTCTGGGGGAAAATTTACTGTCTACTGCCAGATTTGGTAAGAGCTAATGAAAAACAACTTGAAAAAAAACCCGGTGATGGATGTAATTGTGTTACTCATTTGTATAAATAATTATGAAATGGAACTGTAATTACTAAAATGTGTTAAAGTTACATGAAATAATTGCTGCAGGGAATTGGGTGCTCAACAATATTGGAAATATTTGGTGCAGTTCAAAATCTCCCTTTTTTTTAGATCAAGTGAGATATATGATAACTAAAATTATCTTGTGAGGTATAGTATCTAAGCCTAATAGTACAATATAACAGCACTGAATTGGATCCTCAAGGAGAAGTGCTATTGTGGGTACTACACACATTCATTTAAAAATATTATACACAGATATTACCAGCTCAAAATATTGCTCTGTTTTACTTGATATACTTGCGTTTAATGCCACAATCATTTCTCAAGATTCTTAAAGGAGAGAGCTTTTTTTCTGTTGATTTGCTACTATCAATGCCAAGGTGTAATGTGCTTTAAATAACTACATTTAAATGTATGGGGGACAGAGATACCTCTGTCTAGAGTCATTGATGTTGAGATAAACCAGTAATTAAAGATTTATTAACAGAAACTGAATGGAATTTGTTTTAAGAAGAAGCCCACAAGATATTTCCTAATGTCCACTACTGTTTAACTACTGCATCAAGAAAGAATGGATTGACAGTATTGTTTACACTTTGTAGCAAGCCCTGTTCTTCTGAGCCCCCTCTCTGAAATAAACCTTATAGACGTATAAATGGACCAGAACAACAATGTCACCGAATTTGTCCTGCTGGGCTTCACTCAGAATCCTGCGGGGCAAAAAGCATTATTTGTTATGTTTTTACTCATCTACATTGTGACGATGGTGGGAAACCTGCTCATTGTGATGACAGTGATCATCAGTCCCTCCTTGGGCTCCCCAATGTACTTCTTCCTTGCCTCTTTGTCACTCATGGATGCTGTTTATTCCACTGCCATCTCACCCAAGTTGATTGTAGATTTGCTCCGTGATAAGAAGACCATCTCCTTCACAGCATGTATAAGCCAGCTCTTTATAGAGCATTTATTTGGTGGTGTTGATATTGTCATTCTGGTCGCAATGGCCTATGATCGTTATGTGGCTATCTGTAAGCCCCTGCATTATATAATTATTATGAATCGACAGGTATGTATCCTTTTCTTAGTGATGGCCTGGGCAGGAGGGTTTGTGCATGCTTTGATTCAAGTTCTTCCTGTGTATAAACTTCCTTTCTGTGGTCCCAATATCATTGACCACTTTGGCTGTGACATATACCCACTATTGCTACTTGCATGCACTGATACCTACTTCATTGGTCTCTCTGCCATTGTCAATAATGGGGCTATGTGTTTAGTGATCTTCATCCTCCTCCTTCTTTCCTATGGAATCATTTTAAGATCTCTAAAGATTCACAGTCAGGAAGGGAGGCATAAAGCACTGTTCACCTGTAGTTCCCATATCACTGTGGTTTTCCTCTTTTTTGTTCCCTGTATTTTCATGTATGTTAGACCAGTTTGTAGTTTCCCTGTTGATAAATCAATTACTGTGTTTTATACAATTGTGACTCCCATGTTGAATCCATTAATATATACTTTGAGAAACTCAGAAATAAAAAATGCTATGGAAAAACTTTTCCAAAAACTATTAAGTCCCAATAGAATAAAATAACTACTTGCATTGTGAATGCAATTTGTAAATATTTGGTTTTTCTTGTGATTTTTAATAATTAGTATAGTTTCTTATAGTATCATAATTTTGTTGTACTTTTTAACTCTTTCTCATGAATTGCCTATTTCAGTTTATGTAAAATTTTCTATAATTTCTTTAAATTTTTTTATACATTGTATTTTCATCATGGTTTTTCTTCTCTTCCATCTCTTCTCAGATCTTCCCCCTTTCTCTTCTCATCCAACTTCATGTTCTCTCTCTCTCTCTCTCTCTCTCTCTCTCTCTGTCTCTCTGTCTCTCTCTCTCTCTCTCTCTCTCTCTCTATATATATATATATATATATATATATATATACTCTCTTTCTGAATTCTCTCTCTCTTAACTTTCCCATAACCAAACTTCAAAGAACCTTCAAAAATAAACAACTGAAAACCCAACAAGTTAAAAGGCCAAACCAAACCAAATGAACCCCCCCCCCACCACCACCAAACCCAATAAAACCAAATCCATGGAGTTCATTTTCTGTTGGTCAACCAACACTACTTGGGCATGAGTTCTGTCCTGGAGTGTGGTTACAACACCTAATAACTGTCCATTCAAAAAATGTTTTCCTTTTTTTCTCCCAGCAGGTATCAAGACAGCTTGTTTGTTAGGTATGGGAATTTCTGTCCACTTCTCTTTTCAATAGTGGGATATTATGTAACTTGAATATGTACAGGTAATGTGTATGCTGTCAATCTCTGTGACTCCATACCTGCAACAGTGTATAAAAAACAATATTACTTGAATTCATCCATGGCCTCTGACCTTTACAATCTTTGCTCCTTTTCTTCTGCTTAGGTCCCTGAGCATTGAAGTATTAGATGGAAATATTCCATTTAAGACAAATATGATGTGCTTAGAAAACCTAAATGGATTTCTTGATATATTCAGTTCAGTGGAATTCTTTAGAGTTTTCTTTCAACTAACTGTATATGTCATGTGTATTAATTTTTATTTATAGTTTTATCTACACAACTTTCATTTATTTTGATTAACAAAATATTCTAATTTGATTAAACTTTAGTTTGAAATAATTCTTTTAAAAATGTTTTTGCAGATTAATTAAGATACAACCTATGATCACAGTCAGGAAGGGAGGTGTAAAGCTCTGTCCACCTGCAGTTCCCACATCATGGTGGTTGTCCTCTTTTTTGTTCCTTGCATTTTTATGTATGCCAGACCTATTTATAATTTTTCTATTGATAAATTCATTGCTGTATTTTGTTTTGTTTTGTTTTGTTTTTTCGAGACAGGGTTTCTCTGTGGCTTTGGAGCCTGTCCTGGAACTAGCTCTGTAGACCAGGCTGGTCTCGAACTCACAGAGATCCGCCTGCCTCTGCCTCCCGAGTGCTGGGATTAAAGGCGTGCGCCACCACCGCCCGGCTTCATTGCTGTATTTTATACAATTTTTAATCCTATGCTAAATCCTTTAATATACATTTTGAGAAATTCAGAGATGAAAAATTATATGAAAAAATTCCGATGTAAAATGTTAGCTACAGATAGAATAGGAATGTCTTGTCACTGAACATGTAACTAAGTGGACAAGAAGAACCAGTGAAAAAAATCCTAGCAAAAGAATGTATCAAAAAATTACAGACAATTAATTACCCAAAGACAATGAAAATTTTCCTCTCCTAGGGATTAGTTCCTTTACTGGTTGTACAGTGCTGAGTGGTCAGCCCTGAAACTATACACACATAAACAGAAAAATGAATTAATCTAATTATATTTATATATTTCATGTATGTAAATTCATTTATACATATATATTTATATATACATATACATGTATATTATGATAATAAAACCTCTAGGAGACTGTTAACTTGAGAGTGGAGGTAATAGGATGTATTCAAAGGAAGGCAGCTGGGAGGCACTGGAGGTAAGAATAGGGAGAGGTAAAGTGATATAATTACTTTTCAGCATACTTAAAGCATAAATAAAAGCAATATTCTACTCAATACATTTCTCTGAGATACCCTATAAATGTAAATTCTTTAAAAATAGTAAAGTAACCTTTCATATTAGAATCAATTAAAAGTGAATTTCAGGAAATGTACAAATTGCATGTGTTTTTCTCCCATAATGCAGAAAAATAGCTTACTTGAACATAATTTATCTCAGTTAATATTGAAAAAGGAATTAGCAAGCCGGGCGGTGGTGGCGCACGCCTTTAATCCCAGCACTCGGGAGGCAGAGGCAGGTGGATCTCTGTGAGTTCGAGGCCAGCCTGGTTTACAAGAGCTAGTTCCAGGACAGGAACCAAAAGCTACGGAGAAACCCTGTCTCGAAAAAAAAAAAAAAAAACGATTTAGCAGAAATTGTTCATTAATTTTAGTTTAGAAATAAAATAATTTCGAGAAAGTATGACTATTCACATTCATAAGAAAGGATTATGGTATATAGACATAGTATATAGCCTTTAAATCTGCTTTACTTTCTGTGACATAATGAATTTAATTTCATGTGCTTATGCTAGAATTATATGCTTATATGGGATATCATTTTTTGCACTGCAATGTTACATTTTATGTGTATTTAATACTTTATTCATCTCTTTCCAAACTGGAATTACTGTGTTGTTTCCAGGTACCTGTGTATTCATAGCTAAGTTTTCTTTAAACTTGGAAAAATACTGAGTAGCAGAACTAGTTTTAGTGGTCAACGTACTTCATAAGAAACTGAAAGATTCTTCCATATTTGAGCTGGCACGAATTTATAGTTTCACACGTTTATTTGTTTGTTTGTTTGGTTTTGTTTTTGGTTTTTCGAGACTGGGTTTCTCTGTAGTTTTAGAGCCTGTCTGGGAGCTAGCTCTTGTAGACCAGGCTGGCCTCAAACTCACAGAGATCTACCTGCCTCTGCCTCTTGAGTGCTGGGATTAAAGCATGCACCACCACCTCCCCACTCAGTTTTACATGTTTTTAATGTTTGTAACAACTTGATGTTGCTGAAGAATTTTTGGTTATTGCTTTTTATAGTGTACAAATGAAAGTGTTCACTATCATATTTTCAGACACATGTGTTATTGAATTTCGTTTGTTTCTCCACAATAAAACCCTTCTCATGTCATCCTTCCTTGTGCTTGTACACTTCCTTCCCATCTGTGTCCCACTTCAAATATATATGTTAAATTTAGAAAATACATATTAGAAAATCCATGCTACATTTTATATTAATTTATCAAATGAACCTATCTTTTTTTTTTCTTTTGAAGTCATTTAGAGTCCTTCCTCCCTGAAATTGATGATTGCTTGAGTCAGAATTTTGTGAATCTGAGAAACCCATTTGTTATTTATTTATTTAATTATTTATCTAATTATTTAATTTTTGAGACAGGGATTCTCCGTAGCTTTTGGTTCCTGTTCTGGAACTAGCTCTTGTAGACCAGGTTGGCCTCGAACTCACAGAGATCTGCCTGCCTCTGCCTCCCAAGTGCTGGGATTAAAGGCCTGTGCCACGACCGCCCGGCTTACCCATTTGTTTTAAAGTCTGGCCTACTTTGCATAAACTGATGGTCTTCAGTTCCATTCATTTCCTTATAATTAAATCATCTGAAAAAAATGTCATTCTAACTACTGTATAGTGGCATCTTACATTTTTAATATTCTGATTATTATACTAGACTAGTAATAAACATGGGTGTTTTAGGGTTTCTGTTGCTATGATGAAACACCATGACCAAAAAGCAAGTTGGGGAAGAAAGGGTTTATTTGGCTTACACTTCAACATTGCTGTTCATCACTGAAGGAAGTCAGGACAGGAACTCAAACAGGGCAGGATCCCAGAGGAAGGAGCTATTGCAGAGGCCATGCAGGGGTGCTGCTTACTGGGTTCCCTCCCATGGCTTGTTCATCCCACCTTATTACAGAACCCAGGACAACCTCTCCAGGGATGGCACTACCCACCATGGGCTAGGCACTCCTTCCTTGATTACTAGATTGATTACTTACAGTTGGATATCATGGAGGCATTTCCTCAAATGTGGCTTCTTCTCTGAAGATTCTAGCTTGTGTCAAGTTCATACACAAATCAGCCAGTATAGTGGTGTGCAAGTATCTCTGTAATATGTTGATTTAGAATCTATATTCATGAAAAATCAATGAGAACAATTCCTAGGTAAATATCTAGAAAAAAAGGAAGTTTTCTAATGTAAATACATACCATACATTTCTAATGTAATATAATCTGCATGGCAGATTTTAATACCTGCCCACTGTTTAAGGATTCCTTTTTTTTTGTGGGTCAACGTTAAAACATTTTCCATTTTATGTACTCTAATACTGGATAATGTTAAAGTTAGCTAAAAATATGAATAAATTCAGTACATGAGATTCAGTTGAAGCTAGTACTAGATTACAGAACTTGTTGACAGAATAGCTCTTAATTGAAAACCATGTTATGCCAACTTATGAATGCATTTTTGTTTTGCCACTAGTTACCTGAGGAACCAAAATTCCTCCATTTTGTTCATGCCTCCATCTTGTGCTTATGTAAGCTATTTCCCCTAAAACATTCCAGTCCTGGGAATTTCTCTAGGGCCAGGTTTCTTGCTAACCCTATAATGGCTCCCTCAATTCAGATATCTCTGTCTTTGCTCTCATCTCTGTCCTTCCTCCTTCTTGACTATCCCATTCCCTCAAGTTCTCCTTACCCCTCCCCTTCTACCCTCCTCTGAACCAGTCTACCTGAACTAATGGGAGCTCACCAACTCCAGCCAGACTAGGAAGGAACAATCATAGTCCTTCTGAATGTGGTTGACACTTGAATGACTGGAGAAGACTGAGGGGCCACTGGTAGTGGCACCAGGATTTATCTCTACTGCATGTACTGCCTTTTTGGGAACCCATTCTCTTTGGATGGATACCTTGCTCAGCCTAGATATAGTAGAGAGGGCCTTGGGCCTTCTTCCACAGCAATGTGCCTTACCCTCTCTGAGGACTGAATAGGAGTAAGCTGGGAAGCCAAAAACACCCATAATAACACAAACATCTAACAAGCCTCCACCAGCACAACTTAAAGAAGGGAAACACATAAACACTACCACTAGAAAAAATAACCGGAGATAACAACCACTGGACATTAATATCACTTAATATCAATGGACTCAATTCACCTATAAAAAGGCACAGGTTAAGAGAATGGATACAAAAACAGGATCCAACATTCTGCTGTTTACAAGAAACACACCTCAACCACAAAGACAGACATTTACTTGGAGTAAAGGGTTGGGAAAAGGTTTTCCAATCAAATGGACCAAAGAAACAAGTGGGTGTGGCTATACTAATATCTAACAAAATTGATTTCAAACTAAAATCAATCAGAAGAGATGGAGAAGGACACTTTATATTCATAACAGGAACAATTCATCAGGAGGAAGTCTCAATCCTGAATATCTACACAGCTAATATAAAAGTACCCACATATGTAAAAGAAATATTACTAGAACTCAAAGCATATATCAAATGCTACACTCTAATAGTAGGAGATTTCAAACTCCTCTTTCATCAATAGACAGGTCAACCAGACAGAAACTTAACAGAGAAATAAGAGAACTAACGGATGTAATGAACCAAATGGACTTAACAGACATCTGTAGAACATTCCACCCAAACAGAAAAGAATATACCTTCTTTTCACCATCTCATGGAACCTTCTCAAAACTTGATCACATAATTGGTAACAAAGCAAACATCCATAGATACAAAAAAACTGTCGTAACCACCTGTGTACTATCAGATTACCATGGGATAAGGTTAGAATTCAACAACAATTCTACCCCCAGAAAGCCTACAAACTCATGGAAACTGAACAGTCAACTACTGAACCACCCTGGGTCAAGGAAGAAATAAAGAAAAAAATTAAAGTCTCCCTTAATTCAATGAAAATAAAGACACAACATGCCCAAATCATGGGACACTATGAAAGCAGTGCTAAGAGGAAAGTTCATAGCACTAAGTGCTCATGATGACTTTATACCTTGGTAATTTTTACAAAATCAATTATGTGTTATATACATTTCACCATTTACTCAATTGATAGATGACATTGTTGAGTAGTTATTTTAGAAAAAATACATATAATATTTTGGATAGGTGGTATTATCTCATTTGGTAAATTGAAAACCCAACTTGTAATGAAGCTTACTTTTATGGGTACTTATGACATCAAAAATCCAGTATCTGAAAAGCACCATGTAACTTTTCACTAGTGCTGATAGAGAGCCAAGGCAGAACAATAGCAGTGGATGCCTTTCAGGCACTGTTCATGTACTAAAAAGTAATTGTGTTTTCCCTATATTCACTTTGATGCTCATAAATCAATTCATAGTTTACTGAGATGAAATGAAGTAATTGAAACCATGAATATCCTTACAAGTTCCTCTGACACTGATTCAGATCTTAACTACAGCCTACAATCTAACAGTGCAGAACTTAGACTTCCTGTCTTCTGAAGAGCTATGGTACCAGCTACAGAAGTCTGAAGTTCTTTGTTTTCTAGCTTTGTACACAGAGCTCCTTGGTT